TTACGCTACAAATTATTCTAAGCTCAATTATACTTTATTTTCAGTTTATTAATATTCTTGCTGTCTTCGGAAGCCTTGCTCCCGGAACCAAGCTGTTTGCTGTCTTATCTCGATTTCAACGCTATGTCTTGCATTTTATTTAATTTATTTATTATTTTGGGATCAAATTGATTCACTTGTCTATAAATCACAATATAAATAAAACTGTACTATTTTATGGATAACCAGTTTGCCGCCCACTGTGGGGCCTAGACACTTGCGTAATTGAGTTAATCATTGCATCTATTACTAATCTGTTTGATTCTTTGTGTCCTAGCAAAAGATCGTAAAAGAGGGCCCTCTCTTATGAGACCCTCGCAATAAAGGGTTGGTTCCGGAATAATTATGCCCGGAACCCAAATACCATCGGGAAAAAATACACCCAAAGCCTTGCATAATTCGATGCAAAAAAGTAAACTTTGCCCAATGCTTGAACGAAAAGCACTTTTATGTAACAAATGTGCCAAGCAGCACAAGTACAAAAGTATGAAAAGAAAACAACAAAGAGAAAAGAAAGCAAAAAACTAAACTACTGCATCCCTAGAACTCGGGGGAAGAGAAGTATCTGCGCCCTCAGGAGAAGTAGGCGGATCCGCCGCCGGCTCGGGATCTTGGCCTTCATCATTATCCCCTTCAAATTCCTCCTCAGTTCCCGAGAACTCAGAACCGGAACCAAGAGTTAGTTGCATCTGGCCAAGCCGGGAGGTGCCTTCGGGCGGTTGACTCCAGCTCTCGGGCCTTGACGATTTCTGCATCAAAATCAATGACGTCCGCTTTGGCCTCTTCCAAGGTTTTTCTCCTCATGCAATACATAGAATGTGTTTATCTATAATGAGGGAATCCGCTCGGCGCTGGAGTTCTGATTTAAGCTGATCAACCTCGGTCGAAAGGCTATCCCGCTCGGATCTTGTGGCCCTAAGGCTGAGATCAAGGTCACGGATAATAAAGATATGAACCTTATTGTGTTCCATGACCCTTTTATACTTCTCCTCCATTTGGGCATGCTTCTCCTCAGCAGCAGCAGCCTCTTCAGCTTTGGAGTTCAAGGTTGCCTCCAAGTTATTCAATCTCTCAGTAGAGGCAGCCTCGCGCTCGATAGCAGCAAGAACAGCATTTTGGACCTCAGGCCATTTAGCCTTGGCTTCTTGAAAGTGTACACTTAACTAGGAGGTTTCTTAGCTAAGGGCCATCACTTCCTGCTCGCTCTACCGCGAGCCTCCAACTCACCGGCCTTATCAGCTTGTGCTTCCAGTGCTGGGAGGCGAGAAGCAACTTGGTCCTTCTCGGCCAACAATTGATCCCGTTCGAAGGTAAGCTTTTCTTTATCAAGGATCAACTTCTGAAGGCCCTCGGAAGCAAGGAAGTTAGCCTGCGAAGCAAAAACCCAAGTTAGATACCTTGTCATAACAAACCAAGATAAAACAGACAGCAAAGAAAACGAGCACCATACCGCTGATGCATTGTGCATGGCATTATTTATCATACACTCCCCCGAAAGAGAGTGTATTTTCTTCTTGTCTTTCTCTGAAGCCGATGACTTTAGGCAATTGGCGAGTTCCACCGACCGGGATAGTAGATGGCACTCGGTAGAAACCGAGAGGGAGACGCTCATCCTCCTCTGGGGATCTGCAGAGGGGGCGAATAGTTGTTCCCCAAATTCCCATGGTTTGGGGACTAGGGAGGAGGGACATCCTCCTCTCGGGTGTCTGCGACCGATGGGGGTGATGTAACAGTTGCTGGTGACGAAGGTATGACCGGTGTGGAAGGAGATGAAGCTGATGGCATTGTGGGTTGAGAAGCAGCTGCGGCAAAGGCAGTGTTGGTTGTAGGTTGCTCATCAACCAAAGACGGAAGAGTATCGGCACTCTGCCTCAGAGTACTGGGAGCAGCAACTGGGACCCTAAAGCGAGAATTGGCATTCTCCACTATGTCACACTCTCCCTAGAGCGCTTGGGCGTCGTCCTCGATTGGTGTTATAAGCTCTTCAGATTGAGCATTTTGTTGAGACGATGAAGATCGTTTTCTCCTCTATAGGGAAGCCCCTTCATCACTGCTTCCCCATCATTATCAATCACCACAGTGGCTGTTGATAGCTCGGGCACGACGTTCTTCACCTTTTTTATTTTTGCCCTCGGACGAGGAGGAGCGCCGCCTTTTTGGTTGCTTACTCTCCAGCCGAGGACTCCGAGAGGAAGCACTTGAACCGGAAGCGGATCTGATGGTGTCTGTTCAGGTGAAGGCCTCCTTCAGCAACCTCGCATCCTCTGCGGGATCAGCCAAAACATACTTCTCGGGGATGGTAATGGAGCCCTGCGGAAGACCTGAATTCAATGAAAAAATAAGTTAACCAATTTTCTTATACAGAAATGAGATAAGACAAGATTAGTTTTGCGAGTCAACTTACCATGATTTTTGGCTTCCACCCGTATTTGGGGGCCAGTTCTTTCCACCAGCGGGTCTCAGGCGTGGTAATGTCCAGAATTTTCTGAACCCACTGGTCCAAGTCTTCAACCCTTGGTGGTGTCCACCGAGTTGCTGAAATAATGAAAAGAGGAGGATCAATATCAACACGGAACAACCTTTTTTTAGAGAAAAGACAGACGTTAAACTTACGTGTACGAGTCCATGACTCAGGGAAAGATGGAGTTGTAGCCGGTATGATATCCCTGTTGGAAACAACAACGAACTGTTCCATCCATCCACGGTCGTTGTCATCATCCATGCTAGTGAGCAAAGCATGGTGGCCACGTTTGCTAAAGTTTATTACTCTCGCGCGGAAAATCTTGGGGGAGCAGAGGTTCATCATGCGAGCCAAGGTGAGCTCTTCCTTCGTCTCCTGGAACAGCCGCTGTAGATAGGGTACTGTCCGGCACACAGAGGGGCCTACTTGTGCCAAGCAGACTTGATACCGGTGATAGAACTCCAAGATCACGTGGCCAAGTCCCCAGCTCAATGAGAAAGGGTCCAAAGTGAAAGGGTACGTGTAAACGTACGTAAAACCCTTCTTAGGGAAGGTTACTCGCTCCACCAGTTCGGGAGCGATAATGTTCAGATTATGGCAATCACAATCCTCTTCACAACAGGAATGCTAGAAGGACGGATGGAAGAAGGGTACACGCCAACAGCCCATGTACGAGAGCTTGTAGAAGGAAACATCTCTTCGAAGTCCTTGGCTATGTTGAGTCTCTTGGGAATGATGATGCTCACCGTAGGAGGGGCAGCATCATCGGTGTTTTCTTTATTTTTAAGAGAACTTGAGTTCTTTGAGGAGGAAGTCATGGCTAGCATAAGGAAATAAGAGTTCTTTGAAGAAGAAGATTAAAGAAGAGTGAAAACACGAAAGAGTTGAATGCAAAGAAGTTGAGAGAGTTTAAAGAACTGTGAAGTGTAAAAGAAGAGGAATGAGGCGTATAAGTAAAGAAATAGGTGGCTAAAATCGTGGGCATGATTACCTCGAGAACCGGCAAAAATATTGATAAATCATGGAGTGACGCGTATTCGGGACATTAAATGCGGAGAGATGTGTGTCTAATCAAGTGTCAGAAACTTTTCAGAAGAGATTAGAAAATTTTCCACCAAGAAATGTATCTTCACCAACTTCCCGATGACACAAAGATGTGCCACCAGAAAGCAGTGGGACTATTTGTATAGGGTAAAATTGGTTCATATTAAATACTCGAATAATAGAGCGACGCGTGGAACCGGAGACGGACGAAAAAGGAGGCAAGTGGAAACCAAGGCCGGGGACAACAACTTCAGTTGGTACCGGGCAGACCCCGAAGGGAATATTGCTAACGAGGATAACCGAATATTTGCCACCCGATGACAATCATTAAAGAATATTTCTCAGTATTAAATACACAATCTGTTATAGAGAATTTTGGCATTTATAGCCTCCCGTTACACATTTATCAATGGCTCCCCATAATTGTTATTTAAGAGGGGCTTGATCCTAGGACCTTGTTCCTTAGGTGTAGCTATAAATAGTGGCTTCAACAACCATTGTAGGGGAGGAAAATTTCTGACAAACTTACGCTACACATTATTCTAAGCTCAATAATACTTTATTTTTAGTTTATTGATATTTTTATTGCTGTCTTCGGAAGCCTTGCTCCCGGAACCAAGTTGTTTGCTGTCTTATCTCGATTTCGATGCTAAGTCTTGCATTTTATTTAATTTATTTATCATTTTGGGATCACTTCGCTTGTCTATAAATCACGTTATAAATTCAATTGTACCATTTTACGGGTAAACAAATGACAAGTTAGGACAAAAATAGCAACATGAAGGTTATTGTTTTCTACTTAGCTAGCCCAGCAATTGATAATCATGTACTAACACAGTTGGATTTTAAGTTACATACGCTACAATAACTTTTTACACTATCAGTGAATTTTAACATGTATTCCCTTTGTTTTAATTTATGTGGCGGTGTTTAACTTGACACGGAGTTTAAGAAGGAAAAAAACTTTTAAAACTTGTGATCTAAATCAAGTTATAGTTATTTGTGTGGGTAAAACAGGAAGCTTAAAGCTAAATTGTTTCTAAAATGAAGTATAACATCCTTTTGGGACATACTAAAAAAGAAAGTACGACACATAAATTGGGACAGAGAGAGTAATATCAAATAGTGAAACACTAACTAATGTCTATCAAGAGATTTACATGTAATAATTACCTAATAAATAACCTCATTGTAAATATTCTTTAGGCCTTCTTCCCCTGTTTTTCACCAATCTATGGTCTTTCGTCTGAAGATCTATTAATACTGGGCATTTGACAATGATTAATTAAGGCTTGGCATGTTCGCAGAATTTAAATACTGAGTCTGGTAAAATAAACCGGACCCCATTTTTTGGGGCAACCCGGTACCCGTAACTCGCTCCTTCCCTCACATTTTCTTTTTTCCTTTTTTAGCTATCATCCCCTTCCCTTACCCCCCCCCCCCCCACCAACCATAACCAACTTTACCATGCAATCGTGCATGCAACTTTATCGACGTTAACCTATTTCACTTTGCTTTCACATTATATTTCCAGTTTCATAACGTTGGAATTCTTTCCTTTTCCGGCATTATTGTAAATCTACAGTCAGTTTTACTGACGATAGTAATATATATCTCTACCTGCATATTGATATTCAATATACAAACATGCAGAATAATATACTTTTCCTTTGGGAATATGGCCCCTTTTCCTCCCTCACGACGATATTGCTTTTGTTTTTATAATTCCCTCTCTATATGATTCTTTTTCTTTCTTGTTTATAATTCTTTCATTCTCCTAGCTATTATCAAGAGGATCACTCTATATACTTTTCCCTTTTTACAACAAAAAATTTATTGGGCTAACAAATTAAAGCCTTCTTGTTCGGTTGTTCCTGAGCTGGAACTTTGGGGAGGAGAAGGGGGCAGGATGACCTTGGTGGTGATCCAAATAGTGGTGGTGGCCCTTCTCTTCGTCAATTGTCACAGCTTCGCCACTGCCGACACAGATCCATCGGACGGTCAGTTTCAAATTCCGGCTTCGCCTCTACTCGAAATGAATAAATTACTGAATTGATGTAATCATGGGACTGATTGACCATTAGGAAAGAACCAACCTATATTTCTTTTTTGGGAACTTCTGTAAACTAAGAAAGAATTTCGTTGTCACTCAACTTATGAACAGACGTGGAACACTTAAACGGTGTTTGATTGGGCACGAACTTTAATAAAGAAAACTTCCCATAACAAACCATAAATATCCATGTAGCTATAAATTATCTCATTAAGAGTAAAATTAGAAGTTTAAACTAGAGAAAAGTGTCATTTTCTTAACAGAATAAAAAGGAAAGTAGATTGGTTAACACGAAAATTTCTTTGATCACGGCCCCGTGTCAAATAGAATAGAGAGGAAGTGCTAGCTATTGTACTGCAATGCCTCTTCTTTTTAATATTTTGTTTAATATTTCTTCTTGTCTTTTCCGTCTTCTTGAGCCGAGGAGGGTCTATCGGAAACAGCCTCTCTGCCCCATCGGGGTAGGGATAAGTTCTATGTATACACTACCCATTTCAGACCCCACTTGTGAAATTTTACTGGGTCGTTGTTGTTGTTATATAGCTAATTTTCACTGAAATGTCGAAAGAGTTCACAGAATGGCTTGATAAAATTACTTGTCACTTTGTAGCATGCTGGTCAAGGGTACAACATTTGGTCTATTTTTAACTTAGTTCTTAATCTGTGTATACATATACTAGTATTACCTTCTTTTCTTGGGCCTGTTTTAGTCTCTCTGTGTGTCTATTTATATATTCTCAATGAAACATGCATGGTGGAATTTTCTTTTACCAAACAAAATAAAGCTTGAAATGAGAATCTTTTTTTTTTTTTTTTTTTTGGTCGAAAAAATGAGAATCATTTCGTTTGTGGCAACCTTGATTTTCAGCTTCAGCCCTGAGAGTAATGTATAGCTCCTTAAATTCACCGGCGCAGCTTACAAATTGGAACTCATCTGACAGTAGTGATCCTTGTGGAGAGTCCTGGAAAGGCATTACTTGTTCCGGCAATAGAGTTACTGAAATGTAACATTAATCTCTCTTCAGTTTCAATATGTGCATTTATTGATTTGGCAATTAATGTTGATGTTTAGTTTTCATATTTCAGACAGATATCTGGTCTAGGGCTCTCTGGATCAATGGGATACCAATTAACTAGTCTTACATCTGTGACCAATTTGTAAGATTAATGCCTTTCAATTATTTCCTTAATTCCTTCTTTGATTTGTGTTTAAGTCCTAGAAATTGTAATATTTTGGGTACTTTAATTTGCAGTGACATAAGCAACAATAATCTAGGAAACCAGATACCTTATCAGCTTCCTCCAAATGTGCAGAGACTGTATGTGTTTTTATGTGGATATTTTTCTGTCCTTAATTCCAGGCTCCAGTCCTTTTTTATTTAATTTTACTTTACATATATATTATTCTGATCACTTTAACACAGTAACCTTGCTGGTAATGGTTTTACTGGTGGCTTACCTTATTCCATTTCACAAATGACTTCCCTTCAATACTTGTAAGTCAAATTCCTATATTTAATTGACTTCTATAGTACTATTAGGATCATTAATGTTCTAATTTTCTCTGCAATTATTATTGTATGTGTTGTAGAAATGTCAGTCATAATCAAATTCAAGGAGAACTGAATGACATGTTTGGATCCCTTTCTTCTCTCAACACACTGTAAGGCCTTCTCTCCATTTCTGCCGTTCTTATATACATTGATGTTACCCTGTTATAATAGAGAATCTCAATGTATAATGTGCTATTCTTGATAGATATATAGAGTATCCCTTAAGTTTATTATATGAATTCTTGCCACCAAGTGAAATGTCCAGAACTATGCCTTTAGTTGTTTGTCGCTAGATTTTTGATGAGAAGGGCTTCGATCATTGACCTGATGCTCAACTTAACTCAGCCTTTGGCATGTATCTTTTGTTTTTCTTGGTTGATTTAATTATGCTTTATCCCTTGTTGCTTAGTTTTGGTTGTTTACATTTATGCTTCAGGGATATCTCTTTCAATTCAATGACCGGTAAACTTCCTCAAAGCTTCCAGTCACTGACTAGTATGAAGAAAATGTAAGATCAGTATCTTCTGATTCGTTATTGTACTGTATTGGTTGAGTACTGTCCTTCAAAGATTTAAGTTCTAGTATTGTGTTGTGCAGCTACCTGCAGAACAACCAGTTTACAGGAAATATTGATGTCCTCGCCAATCTTCCTCTTGACAATCTGTGAGTTATAACGCATATCTTTGTGTGTGTAAATGTTATCCCTGATCATATATGTTTCATTTCCAGGCTTTCAGTTTAATATATTTTTCATCATGCTGATTCCTTTATGTTATAGGAATCTTGAAAACAATCAGTTTACTGGCGGGATTCCTCAGAAATTAAAAGGGATATTGCAGTGAGTGTTTCAGTACTTTGTAAATTATTCTTCATCATTGATAGACATTAACTTTATGTTCAATTCGGGACTTGTGATACAATTGTAGAAGATCTAACAGTAACACAGGAAGCTCAGGGCCAGCGCCTCCGCCTCCACCTGGAACAACCCCCGCGAACAGGTCAAGTACTCAAAATCACAAATCCGGAGGCAATGGCAGCCCTTCCAGTGGTGGAGGTAGCAGTGGTAGAAATGAGAAATCTGGTATAGGCAGTGGAGGTGTTGCAGGCATAGTGCTATCAGTTTCAGCGGTTGGCGCAGTTGCAGTTTTCTTTATTATCAAGAAAAGACATAGAAAGTCGTCAACAGACATAGAAAAACTTGACGTTCAGCCATTCTCTCTTGATTCACAGGAAGGACAAGGTATATAATTTTGTGACTGCTGTTTTCTTTTGTTTTTGTTCATTGAGAGTAATATTTAGTCCACATGTTATATATATATATATATATATATATATATATATATATATATATATATATATATATAAAAGTGGTTTTGTGAAATAGGGCATTAAAAGTTATGCTTTATTGTAGGCTTTAATTGGTTAATAAACTATTAATGTAGCACTGCAAGGGATTTTCCCACATACTGAGGAGAAATAACTAAGAAGGAACAAGTTTTACCATCATAAATAACAACTTGATGGACTAAAAAAGGTCCTATCTTCAAAAGAGACAAGTTTCAAACTTAAAGCTGCAAAGACTTTATGTGAGAAATTCAGCAGATGTTAAAGCAGGTTCTGAGTTACCTGGTGCTTTTGAAGCTTAACATAGAAGGAAAGAATTGAATTTTATGCTCTCTTATGGTGGATAGGATCCTTCCTTTCCATGTTAGCAAATTTCAATAGAGCAAAATCTATTGCGGTACATCAGTAAAATAAGATAAATTTGTTTTCAGCACCCTTATAAGCACAAGATTTTTCAGAAATGTAATTGCCTTATAAGAGCGCTCGTAACTCGGGATGCAAGTTCCAGAAAAAGGAATGATCAATTCTCTTTCCCTTATGGAACTTCATTTGTAACATGGTGTTTCATACTTCTTAGGCCTTATCTCAATTTCTTTAAATTCTGTATTGTCATGTGATCAGAGTTCCAGCTTGCATTTGCCCCTTTTACTTATATTGGTTTAGGTTTTGTGTTAGCTTTTGAACCTGGATTTTGTACTCATCACCTATTCTTTGCTGCAGAGATGACACTTAGCCAAAATTCCTCCACAACAAGCATGAAAGCTGTTGAAACTCCCACCTCGGCGACTCTAAGACCTCCACCAATCAATCATCATAAATCCTTTGATGGAGATACTATTTCAGCAAAACCCATTGTTCCTCAGAATAAAACTCATACAGCTCAAATGAATGTTGTGCAATATTCATTTGCAGACATACAGATGGCTACTGATGGCTTCAGTGTTAAAAACCTCATCGGTGAGGGATCCATTGGGAGTGTATATCGGGCTCACTTTGATAATGGCGAAGTAAGATCTCTTTCTTGAGAGTATCTATAAAAGGAAAAAGAAATTCATTCATATGAATTTGGTTTCTGCATGACGAAATCTATAAGAGATGCAATTGTAACTTCAAGCAAGTTGGGTTAAAGTGATAGAGAAATATTTCAAGAAAAAGATTCATGTTTTGAAATTCTGTTTGTTTTAATAACTAGTTCTAGTTGCAGCTACCATTCCCTATGCTCATATTAGTGATCCAAATCATTTAAGTTCCTAATATTATTTGAAATGCTGTAGGTTCTGACTGTCAAGAAAATTAATTCAACTGAGCCCCGGAATCCTGAAGTTTTTCTAAATATGGTTTCTGACATATCTCGGCTGCATCATCCAAATGTGACTGAACTGGTTGGTTATTGTTCAGAACACGGGCAGTACCTGCTGATTTATGAATTCTATAGAACTGGTTCGCTGCATGATTTCTTGCATCAGACGGATGAAGAAAACAGCACGCGACTAACATGGGATAGCCGACTCAAGATTGCACTTGGCACAGCAAGAGCACTAGAGTGAGTTTCATAACCTACAAAATTACTTTCATGGGGCCTCGCATAAAATTAATGCAGCTTGATACAACCTTTTATGAGGTTTTTTGACTAGCTAATTAATTTAAGCATCTTTTGCAGGTATCTACACGAAGTTTGTTCGCCATCTTTAGTTCATAAAAATATCAAATCTGAAAATATTTTACTTGATACTGACCTCAACCCTCATCTATCAGACAGTGGCTTAGCAAACCTTGTTGCTGATGTAGATCAGGTAACCCTTGTGTTGTGTGCTTTACTGGAAAGTGTTCTTTCCTTTTTTCTTTTTTTTTTAAAAAAAAATATTCTCATGCATAATTCATGCAAATCTTTTTGATGGATTCAAGTGCTTTGTTGCCTGCTCTTCTGTAGTTCTGTACCATTCAGTTGGTTCAAAAATTTTACTGTGTACAATTTCCTAAAGCTCCACATCAATTCTTCTAAGTGGTTTCGACTTGGACTTTCCTTTTCTTCTCCCTACAGGGATTGAACTATAATACAGGGTCTGGATATAGCGCACCTGAGGCTGCTATATCTGGAAAGTGTACCACGAAGAGTGATGTATACAGCTTTGGTGTGGTTATGTTGGAACTTTTTTCTGGACTAAAACCTTTTGATAGGTAAAGTTGTTTAACCACCTACAATTTCCAATCAAAATCTGTTGTAGACAAAGAAAAACAGAATTTAGAGGGATTTTTCCTAAAATAATATGTTTGCTCTTCTCTACTCAGCTCAAGACCAAGATCTGAACAATCCTTAGTTAGATGGGCAACCCCTCAGCTCCATGATATTGATGCCCTGGAAAAGATGATCGATCCAGCGCTTGATGGACTCTATTCTGTTAAATCTCTGTCACGGTTTGCTGATGTTATTGCTCTCTGTGTCCAGGTAATACATATTTTGTGTTGAGAGTGAGTCAAAGTGATAAATTCCCTATATATAGCATGTATTTTTCAAGAATGTAGCTTCTTAAATCGCCTGTCTTATCTCAATGGTAATTGTCTATGTTGTGCCAGCCCGAGCCTGAGTTCCGGCCACCTATGTCAGAAGTGGTTCAAGCATTGGTTCGGCTAGTGCAACGAGCAAACCTGAGCAAGAGGTTACACGGTATTGATCAGGACTGAGACGACGAAAGAGCTGTTCAAGACTAAGAAACTCAGTTCCAAGCAACAATGACTCACTCTGTTGACTATTCCAGCTAATGGTTTCCCCTAAATTCTTTGCTGTTTATGGGAGATTACCTGAAGCTGATCAGTACAGCAAGATCTTGTGCGTTGCAATATTTTCGATTAATACCAGATGCTAACATTCCTAAATTATCTTGACTTGTGAGAGAACCTTATTAACACATACATAATTGGACTTTATACCGGCTATGGTAATCTGCTCACCAATATTGTTAGCCAAGGCAAGTTAATTGACATCAAATGTGCAACTCAGAAACCTGAAAATTTTCCATGTCAACTGAAATATACGGTTGAAGGTGCCACTCTTCAGAAGAAATAACAAACCTGAAAATTTCATGTTAGACCAAAAAAAGTATATTACAAATTTTTTAGGGAAGTGAACCAAAACTGAGCATAACACAATTTAGGTGATCACTATGTTGCATGCAAGGCTAGATTTTACTATTTCAATGATGATCCACGGACAATATGACATACCTCTAGATACACAGGTACTTGTTCACTCAAACACGGACCAAAAAATATTGTAAAATTTTACTTCGAGGTCAACTGAGAAAGCAGCTCCGAGTTGAAGATAGTTCGCAAATATAAATGTCACCTAAGGTGACATGTACACACATTCTTCATAAGCTTCATAGCCTAGAAGCCTGCCAGTCCTGCTTAACCCGGTCTCATCAGCTTGCCCTCCGTCATGAGCATCACATTCACCCCCCCCCGCCCCGGACTCAACATCGTCGTTGAGGTTTGCCTCACCAAAAGTTTGCCTGACCATCGTACTAAGGGAGATTTGGCTCTGATACCATATTTGTCACGACCCAAGCTCATGGCACGTGTTGTCCGCTTTGGACATACGGGTTTGTCCTTTGGGCTACGCCACATCGAGCCCCAAAAGCGTGTGTACTATATCATACCTTATAAAATTCTTCACTTTCTTCTCCCATTCCGCTGTGGGATTCACCTAAGGTGACATGTACACCCCTTCTTTAGAAATTTGCCAGCCTAAAGCATGTCAATCCTACTTGACCCGCCCTCCATCATAGAAAACCAATTTATCATTTGCAAAAAGATGGCAATTTGATTCAGCACATAGCAACAGTACAAGATATAGCAAGTAGGTTGTTAGCGAGCGAGCTATTCTTCTTATATATATATATATATATATATATATATATATATCTTAACGAAGAATGTGTATGACAACTTTCGCTTTAGAAGGTGCACTTGTGTCTTGAGGAAACACCTGCGAAAATATTGTTGCTAGCACAATTTCTGAACGCGAGCACAAGGTATTAGACAAATTAGGACATATAATTGCTTAATGCCAGTACGATAATAACAGCTCTACTTTGCCAATAAGATAACTATCATGACTAGCTGAAGAACTGACAGAAGAAGAAAACATTATCCAACACACGCACACCCCATGGGTATAAAATTAAGATAAGTGAAAGGGAAGCTATCAGAGATTACAGTTTCTTAGATTTAACTCGAAACACCAAATCATCATGCATTACTGAGCACAAATCGGTCCGGTGTTTTTGTTGGCAACAAACAGAAGCATCCAGAGATTAATAATAAGGTACAAAGTCTAATGGACAACTGGATGGTGAAACTGAGTAAACAGCATAATTCTCATATCGAGTACACAGGATAACCAAATATCAAACAGCAATGTCAGTTCGATCCTGCCAATGCTCCATTGTTTCTCCAGGGATGCCAAAAAGAAAGTAGCGCAATCAATTGTAGACCATGTACTTCGGTGTTGCACTGAATTTCTGATATCCTTTAATGACTTTATTGACAGCATCTAAGAAGTCTTTCTCTGTAACAGTTTTCCTCCTTGCTCGAATAGCATACATTCCAGCCTCCGTGCACACACTTCTTATGTCAGCTCCTGGAATAAAAGGAATCAGTGAAAAAGTCAAAACTGTGCCCCTAAATGTCTGATATTCGTACATCTGATCACTACAATATTTTTATATTTTAAGTGAAACATACAAGTGAACTTATCACTTCTCTTTTATGTGAAAGCAAACCTTCTCTAGTATATCAACCATCACTCTCTATAAAATTCCACAAATATCCATATACTCAGTACATAGACATCCATCAGCCACAGCCACAATCCTCGTATTATTGAAATCCATAAAGTTAGCAAAAGCAGCTAACTTATCGTGACATTCACCTTCAAATACATCAAATTTAATTATATATCAACCTCTTCCAACTTCTCCTGGTGATGCTACCTTAGCTTTGGCTTTAATTGGTTGATGGACAAGCTCACAGAGATTTCAATGTGTAAGTACTCACCCTAGAATTCCTATTGGCATAACAGCATCAAACATCGTGGGTGCTATAATCTAAATTCTCCCACAAAATTAGGTATTTCAACCCCATTATTTATGCAAAAGATTTTTGGTGTGTCATACACCAACCCCGCCACCCCACTATGTGGGATTACACTGGGTACGTTGTTGCATACACAATAATTCACTGGAGTAGAATTCACTGGAATAGAACAGCTCAAGATTACATTAATTACTGCTGTTGAACAGTTCGAGTTTACAATTTTAAAATCTATGAGATATAAAAGAAGTATGTGATAAATGTAACAAAAGTGAAGTTGGATTTCGAATGTAACCAGAAAATAATGGGATTGGGATCAATGGAACGACAGTGGCTTTGCTATTATACGTTGCACAAAATACAACCTCATACATTGAAGCAACTTGTACAACTCGTGATGTAGACAACCAAAGGACTATATTCCCTTACTCTCATTTTGACTCTGTACAACAATTTGATGAAAGGATCGATTTGTGCAGTGTTCAACAGGAAACATGGGCAAGTTAGTTTTATTTTCCCACGAACAGGGATACAGTAAAGTTACACTCAGAAAGTTTGACACCTTAAATTTTAATTATGATTTGTCTATGTTGGTAGTAATGAACAGAATCTAAAAGTTGTAGAACTAGGTTTGATAAAGAGAACATCAGTCTTCAAAATTAAATTCTTGTATAAGTCAATGTATATAAGAGATTACCAGTAGAGTTTGGGCAGAGACGTGCCAAAAGTTCAAATCGAATATCCCGCTCACAGTTCATTGTCCGTGTATGAATCTTAAAAATCTGGGTCCTACTCTCTAGATCAGGCAGACCAAACTCAACTTTGCGGTCCAAACGTCCGGGACGTAGCAATGCTGGATCAAGAGTATCTGGCCTGCAAAAAAGCAAAAAAGAAAAACAAAATGGAGTTACTATTTGAGAAAGAGGAACAACCCGCAAACTACAAATCAGCTTAGCTACCAAAAATCAATAAACTAATAATTTTATTTCTTTCTACCACAAGTCAACTTCATATGAAAGGAAACAACTAAGAGTCCAAAGAGTATAGGTGAAATCCCCTCAGCAAGGGAGATAATCAAATGCTATACCAAACAGCCAAAAGTAGCAGAAATACTTTATATAGTTCAGTCAGATGTGGCCTTTTGCTAGGAAAGTTCATGCAAAATATACATCGAAAAGTATGCTATTGAGGTCAAATCCCTAATCGATAAGCAAATAAATGCAGTAGGTTGGCGAAAGAGAAAGACATGGATATGACACCCAGTTTGCATCACTCATTTATCATAAGCTGCAATAAATCACAAAGTTGTCCAGCGCCTGCAACCCACGAGAGAGACTACTGAAACAAAAAGTTAGACATAGAGGGAAACACTAACCTATTGGTCGCCATGAGAACTTTAATATTCCCACGAGCATCAAATCCATCTAGTTGGTTCACAATTTCAAGCATGGTGCGCTGAACCTCATTGTCTCCGCCTACACCATCATCAAATCTTGCACCTCCAATAGCGTCTACTTCATCGAAAAAGACAATGCATGCCTTCTTAGAGCGTGCCATCTGCCGTGCAAAACAAACGTAATCAGCAATCAAAACTGCAAAGACTTGCTATAAAGTTGCCCACAAGGTTACATCTAACCTGGAATAGTTCACGAACCATCCGAGCTCCCTCTCCAACATATTTCTGAACAAGCTCACTACCAATAACACGAATAAAGCAAGCATCTGTTCGATTTGCCACTGCTCTAGCAAGCAGAGTTTTCCCAGTACCAGGAGGACCATAGCAGAGAACACCCTTTGGGGGATCAATTCCAAGTTTCACAAACTTTTCAGGGTGAAGCATGGGCAACTCAACAACCTGTAGTTAAAAGCAAAATTTCATCAAGCAGGCAGAAAGAGAATTCTGGTTTGCAAAAGTCAAAAAGATGCAATATAAGGAATGTTAAGCAGAACAGGGTCAGAGTAGGACAACGACAACTACAACTACTACGCCTCAGTCACAAACAAGTTGGGATCGACAGATAATACAATAACAGAAGATCATGAGTACCTCTCTCATCTTTTCAATTTGTTCCTTGCATCCACCAACATCATTATATGTTACATCAGGCTTTTCCTCAACTGTCATCATGGTAACACTAGGATCAATTTTGGGGGGCAATGGAATCTGAATCTGATATTTATTCCTATCAACCCTGCAAGAATAACAATATGGTCAAAAGACTCTGACAAGATTCCGTAAAGCAGAAGGTTTGGCTAGTTCATTATTCTTAACATACACAACTACATTTTCCCGCTAAATCTTTGTACCACCTATAAAGCAAGAGATTGCCTAGCACTTAGGTATCTCCAATACGAAAAGAAAGCCAAGCAATAATTCATTCCACAAGGAATTAAACACTTAATACTGTCATAAGACTCAAATGTCAAGCTTTAGGAGCAACAATAAGCAAAGGTCACATTTAATTAGTTTAGGTGAATCCACCAATCAGGTGAGTTACCATATATGTTGCAAAAGTTCCAGTTTATCATCCCCATACACAGCAATGGATATTAGTTGCTGAAAATCCTTACTAGTTCTCAGTAAAATCATTACTAGCATTCTGAGGGATCTTGATGCTGCAGTAACCCTCTTCCTTTGACAAATCACACTTGGTACAATATGACACAGGACTCCCATCATTTCAAATGCAGTTACCAGAAGACAATACATAATGACTGCTTTTACTGAAGTAAACAACTTCAGGGGCATTTTTTTCTTTTTAGGTTGTACAAATTCTATGGAGAGAGAGAGAGAGAGAGAGAGAGAGAGAGAGAGAGAGAGAGAGAGAGAGGGAGAATAAGCA